TATCAGACAAATCCAGAATATGAAACATCCTATAAAACAACCAGCCCGGACTCTATAACAAGTTAATAAGATGTGAGAAAACAAACGCTGCAAGAAAAAACCAGGCAGGGACCACTCTAGACTAAAAGAGACCACAGAGACATAACACAAAACAGAACATAAAAGCACAAAAATTCACTGGATCTTTGGCTGGGATTAAAAACAAAAACCAGCTATAAAAAAACATTATGGGAGAATTGAAAAAATCTGAATTTGAACTGGATATTATGCAATTAGTGTTAATTTTCCCAGATATGAAAACCATATTGTGTTATGAAGGACCAAGTCCTCAGTCTTAGTCGATGACTGTGGAGTACTTAGAGGCGAGGTGTCAGGCCCATCTACAGCTAAAACTCAAACAGTTCAGCAAGAGAAAGAATGTGGGACACAGAGCAAATGTGGCAACATAGTAACAAGTGGCTGAATCTAGGTAGAGGGTATAGAAGCTTCCTTAAGCTAGTATTTTAACTTTTCTATATGTTTGACAATTTTCAAAATAAAGTTGGAAAAAGAAAAAAACTATAGACACGATTATACTACTTTACTGTACAGTGGGAAAGGGGGATTGAGCGAACAGATATATCAAGTGACTGGAAGAAAATAAACACCAATATTAATTGTGCTTTTTTCATCATAGTGGGCTTATAGGTGATTTATTTTCCTTCCTAGTTTTCATATTTTAAAAAATGCTCTATAATGGGTATATATTATTTTTCTAATCTGAGGCAAATTAAACATGTTCAAAAAATTTAAGTAAATGGGAATGGATAAAGAAGATGTGGTAATATATACACAATGGAATACTACTCAGCCATAAAAAGAATGAAATAATGCCATTTGCAGCAACATGGATGGACCTAGAGATTATCATACTAAGTGAAGTAAGTCAGAGAGAGAATGACCAATATCATATGATATCACTTATATGGGAAATCTAAAATATGACACAAATGAACTGATTTACAAAACAAACTCAAGACAGAAAACAAACTTATGGTTACCAAAGGGGAAAGGCGTAGGGAGGGATAAATTAGGAATCTGGGATTAGCAGATACACATCACTATATATAAAATAAACAAGATCCTACTGTATAGCACAGGGAACTATATTCAATATCCTGTAACAGACCATAATGGAAAAGAACATGAAAAAGAATATCTATATTTATATAAAAAACTGAATCACTTTGACCATGAGTTTGCCTCTCCTCATGACTACAACGAAACAACTGAATGCTAAATAACCATTGAAAAAAGACTGGAACCTAGCAAAAAAGATCTTTTGCAACTAGAAACAGAAAGAGGGAACCACAGCAGGACGGTGGGAGGGGCATGCTTGCAATATAATTGAGCCCCATACTCCTTGGGTGGGCGACCCACAAGCTGAAGATCTGTTGGGTCACAGAGACCCTCCCACAGGAGTGGGAGCTCTAAGCCCCATGTCAGGCTCCCCAGCTTGGGCTCTGGCATTGGGAAGAGAAGGAGACCCCAGGACATCTGGTTTTGAAGGCTAGGGAGGCTTGGCCCTGGGAGAAACAGAGACTCCATTCTTTTGGGAAGCATACACGGGAAACTCACATGCACCAGGTCCAAGGGCAGAGGCTGTGATTTCATAGGAACCTAGGCCAGGCCTGCCTGCTGGATTTGGAGGGTCTCCTGGGGACATGGGGGATGGCTGTGGTTCACTCAGGGGACATAAAAGCTGGTGGCAGACATCGGAAATGTTCATCTACACGAGCTTCCTGGAGGCTGACATCTTGATTGGATCACCAGCAACAAGACCTAGCCCCACCCAACAGCCTGTAGGGAAGCCTCAGGCCAAACAACATACTGAGTCCCATCAGCAGACTTCCTGAGCCACAAAGGCCTCTAGACAAAGCCCTACCCACCAGAGGTCCGGGACCAAGCTTCACCCAGCAGTGGGCAGGCACTGGCTCCTCCGCCAGGAAACCTGCATAAGCCTCTAGCCCAGCCTCATCCACCAGGAGCAGATACTAGAAATAAGAAAATAGTAATTCCAAAGCCTATGGAAGGAATCCACACATAGAAAGATAGATGATATGAGGTGGCAAAGGAATATCTCCTAGGCCAAGGCACAAGATAAAATCCCAGAAGAGATAAGTGATAAGGAGATGGGCAATATATCTGAGAAAGAGTTTAAAGTAATGATGGCCAAGATGTTCAGAGAACTCAAGAGGAGTATAGATGCACAGAACAAACTTTTTAAGCAAAGAGTTGGAAAATATTAAGAATACCCAGAGTTGAGGAATAAAATCACTGAAATGAAAAAATACACTCGAAGGAACCAAGAATAGACTAAATGAGGCAGATGAATGGATCAGTGAGCTAGAAGACAGCGGAAATTACTTCAGAACAGAAAAAAGAAAAAAGAATGAAAAGAAATGAGGATAGATTAAGAGAACTCTAGGACAATATGAAACGCACTAATATTTGCATTACAGAGGTCCCAGAAAGAGAAGAAAGGACCTGAGAAAATTTTTGGAGAGAGAATCACTGAGAACTTCCCCAACTTGGGAAAGCAGTCACCCAAGTCCACGAAGCGCAGAGTCCCACACATGATCAACCCAAAGAGGAAGACACCAAGGCACATAGTCATCAAATTGACAACAATTAAGGATAAGGAGAAAATATTAAAATTAGCAAGAGAAAAGCAACAAATAACATACAAGGGCACTTCCATAAGGTTATCAGCTGATTTTTCAGCGGAAACTCTACAGGCCAGAAGGGAGTCGCAAGATATATTTAAAGTGATGAAAGAGGGAAACTTACAACCAAGAATACTCTATTCAGCAAGGCCCTGACTTGATGAAGAAATCAAAAGCTTCACAGATAAACAGAAGCTAAAAGATTTCAGCACCACCAAATCAGCTTTACAACAAATGTTAAAGGACCTTCTCTAGTCATCAAACCATAAAAAAAGAGAACAAAAAGAAGAGAGAAAAAAAAAAAGATTGCTTTGACTGTTCGGGGTCTTTTGTGGTTCCTTATAAATTTTGGAACTTTGTTCTAGTTCTGTGAGGAATGTCACAGGTATTTTGATGGGGGTTGCAATGGATCTGTGGATTGCCTTTGATCATGTTGATTCTTCCAGTCCAAGAGCACAAGAAATTTTTCCATTTCTTTGTGTCACTTCAGTTTTCAGATTATAGGCAACCTCCTTGGTTAAGTGCATTTCTAGCTATTTTGTTGTTTTTGATGTAACGGAAACGTCTCTGCCAGTTATAAAATTCTGGTTTTTTGAAGTGAGGGAAAAAAAAAGGTGAATGAAAATATCCTTCTTTCTTACGGGTGAGTTGTATTCCATTACATATATATGCTGCATCTTCATTATCTATTCAACTATTGCTGTGCACTTAGGATGCTTCCATATCTTGGCCATTATAAATGATGTTGCCATTAATAGCAGG